CCCCCCGAAAAAAATAGAAACAAAACCAAACAGCTTGGGTATTATGTAGTAGATGGATGATGATTCTTAAACGACGAGTTAGGAGCGGCCATACTCGCTATTGTGCATATCACGCGTATTGATTTTGCCACTTGACCATATCTCGTGTAAGAACATCCATCATCTCGATGCAACTCAAATCTTTAAAATCTTTAGACATGGGAGTGTCAGTTGGGGACGTGGTGGGGTCCTGTGAGTGCTGGTTCGTTGAGTTATTGCTGCGATCCAGTGTTGCTTCAGCTGCTAAGTCGACCTGAGTTCTGGAGATGAAGTCCATTATTGCAGCCACCCGCCGCTTCATATCCAGCATGCTCATCCGACCGGCGATGCCCAGCTTTGTTTTCGAGCTGCCCTTGTGATCGCTAGTATGCTTAGCATGTGTAGATGTTGTCGCATTGGTCGCTCGTTGCGCGTCTCGTGATACCGATCGGGCGGGCGAATGCTCGGTTTCCGCATTTCGATCCTTTGTGTATTGGTTCTTCCCCTTGCCCTTCTTGTGGTTGCTCCGGGAGGTTCGCTTTTGGGGATTTGCAGCTGAGGAGTGACTCGCAGGAGGGGTTCCGGGAATAGGGGATGGTACTGGGGCTGGTTCGGGGAAAGTCGATGGTTCTGCGCTCTTTATAACAGGAGTCTTCATAGACGGCGGGTTTACTTCCTCTGATACATCGGAATCTAGTTTTCTGTAAGTGCTTGGCCTGACGCATCTCGTACTTGAGCCGCTTAACTTACCTTCAGTACGTCGCCTATCGGCCCGCCCTTTTCGTTTGCTCGCGCTCTCTTGCCGCAGCCGATCTTTCTCCTCCTTGTCTGATTTCTCCGTGCCTTTATAGCCTCGCAATCTCTTCTGTTCGCTGTGGCCATTGCTTTCGTCATCGGTATTTTCTTGACTGATGGTGTCCATTGGTTTTGGAGGTGGCGAAGGGGACTGCGAATTTGTGCGTTGCCTTTTAACAGTGACATGGTTTCTGCGAGGGAGATTAACAGAAATTCCAAATGTGTTAATTGTAGAAAAGGACACGAACTCTTCGCTATTGCTGCGTACCCGTTTTGTACGCCTAATTACACTCTCTGTGCCGTCTTGCCCTACCTCTTCCTTGCTCGCTTCAATTGCTCGTCGTAATTGTTCATCGTCGTAAGCCGCATCGCGGCTGTTCATTGTAGATCGGCGTTTAGATATTTGTGAGGTCGATTGAGATCGAACGGACTTCGCACTACCCAACCTAGGAGATCGAGCACCATCCTTTGCTATAGAAGTAGCCCGAGATGAAGTTCTAGCAGGTCGACTCAAAGGCAGATATTTGGAGTATTTTTGACTAACGGAAAGTATCACCAGCCCGTTAGAGTTTGCTCAGAAACGACGCAATGGAAAGACTGCCTTACCCATTATTTGCTGTTTGTATTTTGTGAAGATCTTTTCGACACTGTTCGCAGAAGTACTCTTCAGGAGAGCTCTCTGCGCTAAATATGCCGACACATGCTCCGTGCTGCCATACTTTGCAAATATCGCACTGCACAAAAAAACCAGTAACATCTTCACTTAGTTCAATTGAAGCGAGGAAGTAGGCGTCCGAACCATCGACAGGAGGACGGCCGGGGTAATCTTCGCAGCCACAGATACACCGGACTGCCTCATCCTCTTCGTCTTGCAATGGATCTGGTTCGTTGGACATGTCGAGAGCCTCGTTCCGCAAGCCCTTGTATTGCTCGTCGTCGTGGCCGCGCTTTCGCCTCCGGCCAAGCAGCGTATCGTCTATGTCGTCAAGCGGATCGGACGATACAGATGCACTAGGCGTGGATTTGCCCGAAGGAGGTCGATTAAGGGATCGGGTATGTCGCTCGAGACGGGTAAAATTGGTCGATGAGAGGGATTGTTGAGAATGGGAAGCCAACGTGCGAGCTCTGGATGATCGTCGCGGCGAGGATGGTGCCATTGAATACTGTAAGCACCAGAAGGAGGGGGGCGGGAAAAAACAAGTATGCGCGGTACAAAAAAACAAAACAAAGTGCGATCAAATGTCTAACATCTAGCCAAGTTCGGAGTGTCTACTCGGTAGTAAGTAGGGGCGGAGAGGAAAAGCAGTTGCACATGATTTGTATGCGGAAGAGGTCATTTTGAATAAAGTCTGCCAGAAAGTAGGAGCCGAGTAGCGGCAGGCTGCATACGGCTTAGCCCAAAACTACTTGGGTACTTACAGTCTACTAAGCCTTAGCCTCTCCACATCTTCGCGTAGGATGATGTATTTGACGTTTTCCCAATCTCATCTCAGCAGTAATTTTACCCAATATCTTTCTTGTCCATCGTTCACGCTTCGTTTTCCTTCATTCATCTTTCAGTTTGTTCATTTTTATCTGCATGCTGTAACAGCTGCGTGCAAGTGGAAGCTTCGGAGGCGCAGTCCGCTGTATCCGCCATGTTTAAGCTATCGCGACGACGCGATCACTCGCTTCAGGTAAGGTTTTAAGCTCCCTGTCATTTTGCGCCAACATTATTCTTTCGCAAATCAGCAGCGATTTCAATGGCCTGCACTACGGCTGTGTCCCCTTTGACTTTGTTTCATCTAGCGATTTGCGATGATGCGTGGACAGACAGCTAAGTTATCTCGCAGCCTCTGACAAAGGAAACGGCCGATCCCAATGCCACGACCGCCGCCGCATCCGCCTTCATGCGAGGCAATCCAGCCCCGTCATCATCTCTATCTTCAGCAGCAGCCGCTGCCGCCTTACGGGCGCAGCCAAGTCCACCCACAAATGTTTCGCAAATTTCTTCGAAAAGAAGCCAGCGCCGCACTTCCTCGCTGTCGTCGCCCATCGGTCGCGACCGAGGCAAGGGTAAGCTACACAGAAGCCCTAGCGTGAGTTCCATGAGCGAACGAACGTTTCGACGATCACCATCGCCTGGTCACACGCCTCTCGGAAAACAAGATGTCCCCCCGGTGCCCACTATCCCGGCCTCTAAGGCCGTCACGATGCCATTACGGACGCAAAATTTCCAAACCGCAAGCCAGAAGTCGCAAGGCAATCAGCAAGGCTCCTGGTTTGGGGCCGCCACTGTTCATGATCCATACCAGGAGAAGGGGGCAGAAATATTGCCAGAATTGACACCTGATTTACCTGAATCTCGTTCTGGGAGCGTTAGCTCATCTATAAACTTCTCATATCCTCGCGCACGGATAACATACGACTCTCACACGCCATCCGACCATGACCTTGTCTATGACCCTAATTCAAGAAGAATGGTCTCGAGAGACACTCTTGTACAAGCTAGTCATCCAATTGAGGGCGCTAAACCGACTGAGAAGGCAAAAGGAACAAAATCAGCCAATCGGGATCATATATCACAAGAGCCAAACAATGAAATGAAGCCAGTGATACCCAACGACATTCAGTCGGAACCCTTTTCAACTGCAACTAGCCAATCCCACTCGACTGGCAGATCTTTGGGGAGGAGGAGCCCGAATGAAAACACGTCGATGACGTCAATGGCAACAGAAACGCTATCACAGGAGAGGGAGCTTGAAACGGAAGGATCCCGGGATTGGCAAAACCATCATACTTCTCAAAACGAAGCCTCCGAATTTGCGATTGAGCCAAGTTTGGCACCTGGATTAGCGAACTGGGACCATACGAAGACCGAGATACCAATTTCCTATGCCGGATCTGGTTCAGAGACATCCGTTCGATCAGCTCATTTTGCATCATCAACTGATCAGTTAGTCGTTAAGCACGAACCTCCACCACGATCTCTGTCTCCTAGAAAGTCGGCCCTCAAATCTGCCATTTCGAGTCGTGGAAGTCAGTCGTCGCATCCTAATGAGAATCCGGACTATCCATTCACTGGGACTTCTCACTCTAACAAAGATGATTCCCCGGCAAGCCAGAGGAAAAGTGCTAGAGTAAGCTGGAACGACAATAGCACAGTTGTAGTTGCTGAACCTGGCAAGTTTGAAGAAGCAGACTTCTCAGCAGTGCACGGCCTTCAATCAAGACATAATACACAGGGTACCGTCGACAGCGTGAAAGCAAACAGGGCGTCTTCACCGCAACAAGATGAGATAATGTCTCCTCGACCAGCACTTCCATTATTTGGGAGTGTGCGTGATAAAAAGGGGAAGGAGCCCGAAGAACGGCAGCTTGTTCGTCCGCGTGAACATTCGCTTTCCCCCCAACCGCTACCGCCGTCCAGTTCGCAAGCATTGTCTTCTATGACCAAAGATGAAATTCCCCCACCAATAGAGTCAACAAAGGCGTTTCATTTTGGTCGCGGACAGACTCCAAGAAATGTTGCGAATATTTCCAAATATCGGGAGCCATTACCAGCCATCATCGCGTCTACCGAAAGTCTCGGGCATGTGAGCGAAGACTTGTATAGCTCCGGGGATGAGCTGTTCGAAGATGTCTCAACTGGTACAGAGCAGTTAATGGCTCAAAAATCGTCAAAGGATGCATCGGCAAACTCAAGCCCGCTCTCTGACGTGTTACTAGACGAAAGTTCAAAAGTATCAGATGCGAAGGCATTGAATAAGTCCCCAGGCATTTCTAGTTCAAATACGGATTCTTCGGCTATGCATCATGATATTTCACCTACGACTGAGCCAAGTTCTCTTCCGGGAAGTTTCCCAGAAGATGAAGATGTCTCCAGGCTCCATATGGACGACGCAAACGCATCTATCACGCCTGTATTAGCCCTTGCTTCAGGATATAAGACTGGCAACCAAGAAGAACATGACTCAGACATGGACAGTATTTACAGTGATGCGTACGAAGATCTATCCGAAGCTGTCGACGGTGGATTCATGTCTCTTGATGCTGCACTGGTCAGTCCGCCCATGGCAGGTGTAGACCGCAACAAATCGCAGGCCAATGCAAGCACTGGGGGGAAGCCGCTGGATAACACCACAAGTACTCCTATTCAATCACCTGATGATTGGGAGAAGGCTAAAGCATACTGGAAAAGCCTTAGCTCTGAGGAGAGGCGCCAGCTCGAAATGGAGGCCCTTCGGGAAGCTGATGATGAGGCTATACGGGAGCGTGTATCGACAAAACGAACTACGACCTTGGCTGATATCTCGGGGCACTCCTCTAATCAGGAACAGAGAAGTCAACGGCAACAATCCCAGAAGGAACGTCAAGTGCGAACCACACTGGTGTCGCCCGATGAAGCAAGACAACAGTCGATCAATTCCAAACCAGCCGATCGATCTCGAACTCTGCCCAAGACCAATACAAAGATGGAAACGAAAATAGGAGAAGAGCCTATGCGGCATACTGATTTTGCCATGACAGATGCTCAGGGGGGGCGAGGCTCGCTGCAGCAACCAACTACCACGGCACGCACCGGCTTGGCGATGGGACGCAGGTTACAAAAATTAGCTCGCCCAAAACGCTCGGCAAGTCATGAACAGAAGTACATAGGTGACGAGCTCCGTGGCCCAACCGTCAGGCCCAGATCATCTTACGACCCGTTAGTCTCGACAGAATATAGTCTAAGACGTCCAAAGCAACATGCGACACACAGCTCGACTGCAGAACCTACGGTAAATACTGTCATTAAGCCTACTTTGCGGCGACGAGGGTCCGACTCTAGTGAGAGCAGTTTCGTACGTAGTAGGTCCATCGGCAGTCCTCGAAGTGGATTTAGGTCATCGATGCGAAGCAGCTCTTTCGATCCGAGGCCATCATCATCTGGTAATAAGGGTAGAAACAGGTTGACTCTACGATCGTTATCACCCACAACGTCACATCAGAGGCACCATTCTGCTACGCCAGCTGCTCCTTCTCGGCAATTGGTAGAGAATCCAAATCGTCAGCCGTTCCAGCGACACTCAGTTGCGCCACGTATCAGCCAATCTCTATCAAGGAGAGATGAGGATTCGACATACGGCGATCACTTGTCAGATTCTAGTGATGACGACATGAACACAACTCCGTTGACAAACGGCTCTATCACGGGCGATGAATACGAACCCGTTCATTCGAGGTTGAAACAATCTATTCTTAATATGTATGCACGCAACAACCTCCCTGACCAAAATTCTGGTGCCAGCGCAGGTATCAACTCCGGTTTGCCAAAACACGATGCGCCCAAACCGAGAGTTGACCAATACCACAATGAAGAGAACCCACATCTACCTCTTGATCAGCTATCCGGCGCCTCGGCTCGCCGACCAGGGCTCATCTCCACACTCAGGCGCAAGAGCCATGCAAACGTCAAAGAATCCAGCGACGCTGACGGTGCCCGTAATACTCTACCGCATCATCACAGTGAAGACGCAACGTCTACACGGAACAGCGTCATACCCAACCATGCAATAGGCTGGCCATTGCAGAACAGGAAGGGCGAGACGAATGAAGCTTCAATGACGTCACCGCTTGGAGACACAGGAAGACGATCCGCAGCTAGCGGCTCTATTGTCAAGGACGAGCTGACGTCAGAACCCCGCCATCAACATGAGCTTCAGCTTTATGAAGGTAGCTCTGATGCAAACCACGCTAATACTCTCCTATCACAAGAACCTAAGCGAAAGAAGTTTAACAGCCTGAGGAAAATGTTTAAAATTAATAATTAGGTAATTATAGAATTCGAATAATGAGATAAGATTATATAGGAATTAATGGTGTAAAAGAATTTAATGGCACGCTAGTTGCACTACGTAGTTCCGTAGCTAAACCTCCGGCGCAGGTACTTAGTACTTGGGAGTTGAAGCTTCAAGCTTCAGGAAGATACATTCCTACATACACACAGGAGAGGTAGCATTTCACTTGCAAACAATTAGCGCAAACTGCGCATTTTGATTGCAGAGCTTTCATTACATCAGCACGTCATATATTAATATATTAATATCTCTCATAGCTGCTGGGCATCAAGTTTTGTTCTTCAGGCAATAAACACAAAGCTCTCATCGAAGCTACCCCGCCTCCCACGTCCCAAGCAATTCTGCGCCATGGCAGCTCCGAACGACAAGCAAGATATCCCCAAGGATGGCACAGGTTTGATATAACAAATGGCGAATGGGTCACAATATCATTTTAGCTAACTCTAATTGAAGGCGTCATCCAGCTAGACCCATGGCTAGCCCCATTCGGCGATGCGCTGAAGAGGCGATACTCTAAAGCTCAGGATTGGATCAAGGTTATCAACGAAACTGAAGGTGGCTTTGACAAGTTCTCCAAGGTATGGGCTGCTGCTTTGGCCCTCAGCTTGCTGCTTCTTCTGCTTTTTCTTGGTGATTGACCCTAACGTTCACAGGGCATTGACATCTTCGGCTTCAATGTAGATGAGAAGAACAACGTTATATATCGCGAGTGGGCGCCAAACGCCGAACAGGCGTATCTCGTGGGAGACTTCAGTAAGTCTTTTACCTTATGCCTTAAGACACCACCGGCTCGACTAACGTGTGATACAGACGGTTGGAACTTCACGTCTCACCCAATGAAGAAGAATGCATATGGCGTGTTCGAGATCACAGTTCCAGCCAAGGGGGGTGAGAAGGCGATACCCCATAATTCCAAAGTCAAGGTACTTTTGTCCAACATTCTTGAGCAAAGTATAAATGCCAGTGCTAATTATTAGATCTCTCTTGTTCTCCCTGGAGGTCACAGAATCGATCGTTTGCCAGCCTGGATTAAATATGTCACTCAAGATCTCTCTGTTTCGCCGGTATATGACGCTCGATTTTGGAGCCCAGCGCCGTCGGAAAAATACAAATTTCAGCACTCACGACCACAAAAACCAGAGAGCATCAGAATATATGAAGCCCATGTCGGAATCTCATCTCCAGAGCAGCGCGTCACCACGTATGAAGAGTTCACGGAAAATGTACTTCCCAGAATCAAAGACCTTGGTTACAACGCCATCCAGCTGATGGCTATCATGGAACATGCCTATTATGCTAGCTTTGGTTACCAGGTCAACAGCTTTTTCGCAGCCAGCAGCCGATATGGAACTCCCGAGGGATTGAAGAAGCTTGTTGATACCGCTCATAAGATGGGAATTGTCGTCCTCCTGGATGTAGTCCACAGCCACGCGTCAAAGAACGTACTTGATGGCCTCAATCAATTTGATGGAACGGACCACCAATACTTTCACAGTGGCGGAAAAGGTAACCACGATCTTTGGGACAGCAGACTCTTCAACTATGGTCACCACGAAGTCATGCGATTTTTACTAAGCAACCTCCGATTCTGGATGGATGAGTACCACTTCGATGGCTTCCGCTTTGACGGTGTCACTAGTATGCTCTACCTCCACCATGGAATTGGAACGTACGTCTATTAACTCTTTCCCTTCTATCTTATGATCCAGTGTTTGCTAATGAATCATTTTCAGCGGTTTCTCCGGTGGTTACCATGAATACTTCGGCCCCGATGTTGATGAGGAAGCTGTTGTGTATTTGATGGTTGCTAACGAGATGCTGCATTCGCTCTATCCCGAGTGTGTCACTGTTGCCGAAGACGTGTCAGGAATGCCAGCTCTCTGCCTCCCGCTTTCACTTGGTGGAATAGGATTCGATTATCGCCTTGCTATGGCCATTCCTGATATGTGGATCAAGATTCTAAAGGAGAAAACAGATGAGCAATGGGATCTTGCCAACATCTGTTTCACTTTGACCAACAGACGCCATGGTGAAAAAACCATTGCCTATTGCGAAAGCCATGATCAAGCGTATGCACTCTATACCTACTAATCATTGATGATGGAATCGTGACTGACAATTGAGCACTAGACTTGTCGGAGATAAAACACTGATGATGCACTTGTGCGATGCAGAAATGTACACCCACATGTCAACCTTGTCACCATTGACACCAGTGATTGATCGTGGAATTGCACTGCACAAGATGATTCGACTTCTTACTCATGGTCTGGGTGGAGAGGGATACCTCAACTTTGAGGGCAATGAATTTGGCCATCCTGAATGGCTAGATTTCCCTCGGGCAGGAAACAACAATTCCTTTTGGTATGCCCGTCGACAGTTCAACCTCACAGAAGATAACCTGCTTCGATACAAATTCCTGAACACCTTCGACAAGTTGATGAATGAGTGTGAAGCACAATATGGCTGGCTGCACGCGCCCCAGGCTTATATCTCCTTGAAGCACGAAGGAGACAAGGTAATTGTGTTTGAGAGGGCAGGACTTGTTTTCATCTTCAACTTCCACACAGACCGAAGCTTCAGCGACTACCGTATCGGAGTCGAAGTGCCTGGAACGTACAAAATAGTACTGAACAGCGACGCGGAAAGAGTTGGTGGCCATAACAGGATTGACGAAGAAACACGTTTCTTCACGACCCCCATGGAATGGAATGGAAGGAAAAACTGGACGCATATTTATATTCCTTGCCGAACTGCTTTGGTAAGTTTCGATTTTACGTCGTCTATCTACGAGAGATTAAGGCTAACTCAACATAAATAGATTCTGGCGCGGGAGAGTTCAGCAACTCAGTAGTTTACAATCTTGTTGCCCAAGTCAGCTATCTGTCAAGAGGTGGTATTACATTTAGCGATATCAAATATAAAAGGAGGTCATTTTGTGTGCAAATGCGGAGAAACTCTATAATACCCCCAACCGTGAGATGTATGCTGTGATGACTATTGCCGGGGGAACTGTTTTATTAGTCGCTTGGATGCATACGCAGACATAGATGCTGCTGGTTCACTTTGTAGTTGTGTTGTATATCCAATTTACTTCTAGGAACACCATAGAAAAGTTGCGATCAACATCTTGTACCTCGGCATCCCATACCGTGTTGTTTACTCTAGCATCATACATGGTGGGGTTGGAGGGGCAGCTAAGGCAACTCCAAGATATAGCAAGTTGCGCCCAGCCATTGACTTCTTTCAACCCATTGGTTATACCAACTACCAATGGCCGCCGATACTTAAGCATCTTGTCCTCCCTTTACGAAATCCCGAAAGCGATGCTGAGCCGTTCTCACCACAGCCTGCGCGCTCTGTCGCGGACCGGGCGCGCCTTGGCAGTGCGGATAGACAGCCCTTTGTCGCAACAAACCGTTCGGCGGAAATCAGGTCCGTACGGCTACACTCAGGCCAAGGCTCTTGTCTTCTCCAAGAATGGAGAGCCATCCGATGTACTACAGTGGGCATCCACTCGCTCTGCGATAGGAAACGAAGGAGAATCCCAAGCTGACAATGATCAAGGTTGCACACATTTTCCATCTCGCCCTCGATTTCGTCCAAATCCGTCTTGTTGCGGTCTCTTGCGGCTCCCATTAACCCTGCGGATATAAACACCATTCAGGGGACTTATGGCTCTCAGCCTAGCTTTACATCTTTGATAGGGACATCTAGCCCGTCTGTCATCCCGGGAAATGAAGGTGTCTTCGAAGTTGTTTCAACGGGCGACCCGGCATCACCCATTCGCAAAGGGGATTGGGTCATCCCAGCAGTTGCACAATTCGGCACATGGAGGACACATGCTGTTGCAGAGCTGGACCAGGTTCTGAAGATTGACAAGGAGGGACTACGTGCGACTCAGGCGGCAACCATCTCTGTCAATCCCAGCACAGCATATCGCATTCTGAGGGCATATGGCCCTAGCACTGGAGTAGGCGGCATTGGAATGCGTCCGCTGGAGGTGGGCAGTGGCGAATGGTTCATCCAGAACGGGGCAAACTCGGGAGTTGGAAGGGCCGCCATACAGCTCGGCAAGCTCTGGGGGCTGAGGAGCATCAACATCGTACGTGAGCGAAGCTCTCCCGAAGAGACCGAGGCGTTGAAAGCGGAATTGATTGGCCTCGGCGCCGATGTAGTTGTGACGGAAACACAGTTTCTATCGCGGGAGTGGAGAGACCAGCTTGCGGAAATCACAAACAAAGGCCGCGACCAGATTGCGCTGGGCCTGAATTGCGTCGGCGGCAAATCCGCCACGGCCCTTGCTCGCTCACTCAGCGAAGGTGCCACGATGGTGTCGTACGGCGGCATGGCCAAGCAGCCAGTTGCCCTTCCCGTTGGCTTGCTCATATTCAAGGACATTCGCTTCGTCGGCTTCTGGCTTTCCCGCTGGAACCAGCAGGACGTCGCTGGGCGCAAGCATATGATTAATGACATTGTTGATCTGATCCGCCAAGGCAAATTTCAAGACGTTCCCCTCGACGAAGTGGCGTGGAATTGGGACACTGACATTTCCACCCTGGCACAAGAAGTGCAGGGCGGTCTTCAAGGGTTTAGAAGAGGCAAGGGCATATTCGTGTTTGGTGATACTTGAATCCCCACCACACAAAGGTCAAGGCTGCGGTCAAACTTAGATTCTTTAATCACGGCATCCATGTAATAATAGTAAGTATAGCCATACCGGGCAATCCCACCATTCAAAATGCGTATAAAATGGAGTTATACGGGCCCGTATGTATCATTCAGGAAATGAAGTCTGATGGACTGATGGACAGACGAGGAGTCTCATATGATATCATGGTAGGCTCGAATTCTACAACATCACGAAATCAACTATTCTACAGTGGTGGTAGTAGGCATTGCAAACTTCAGTCAATGCGCTCTCTGTTTCTATTCATCTAAGCCTATTTATCTAGGCCCTGAGAGCCTGTGCCCACTCATGCAACTTGTCAATAACAACAGGCGCAAACGCCGTTAGAGTATCCTCAATAACCCTCTCAAAGTAACGGATTGCTTCTTCCTCTCCCATCTCAAGGTGAAATCTCTCCCTAACTTTCGACACAGCCTTGTCCGGCTCAAGTCGAATATCTGGGATGTTGGCGTGGACCATCAGACTAAACAGGTTGAGAATGAGGTTCGATGATTTTCGTAATGCAGTGTAAGCTAAAAAGCAATACTGCTTGAACTGTCTGTAATGTTCCGACTGCACTCCGCCCATACAATCGACCATCTCTTTTGAAAGCTTCATTAGGGGAGCAAAGGGTTTAGGGTCACGTCCGAGGATATATCCAAAGTCGGCATGGAAGAAATGCCCATCTGGAGCCAGTAAAAGGTTATCAAGATGCCTGTCGCCAACGCCAAGAATATAAGTAATAACACAGTAGCCCGCACACGATTTAACGTATGTGTCCAAGGTATCCTGTCGAACGCCAAGCGGCTGTCTGTCGTCCGGGTTATGGTGTTTAAGGTAGGCCAAGGCCGGATTGTTCTTGAATTTGTTAACAATGCTTGATAAACTCTGCGACTGCACAAACTGAGAGGCACCGGCCGTCGTGCTCGTCGCCAGGATTTTATAAGGTGACAGTTTCAGATCAAGGTTTTCTTTCTGGAGTAACTCGTCCATCAAGGTAATAATTTGAATGACCAGTTGGTCCTGTCTTAGATCATCGCCGAGCTTGAATATGATAGGGTACTGGCTTCCCGTTGTGGTTTTGAAGGTACACTTGATTGGATTCAGTGATGACTTGAATACCGTGACTTGGTCCGGTATAACACCGATAATCTTAATGGAAGGGTCAAGGGGCATTGCTAGGGGCGGGTCAATGCTCGTAAGCTCGTTCTTTGGGTCTCCGAGAAAGGCTTTTACTCGGTCTGTTTTTTTGGCGATCGACTCGCTGGACAATTTGATGTCGTTTGCAATCCTTGACAATATAGCAAGGAGTTCGGCCTGCCTTAGGAGTGTCTTCCGAGATTCGTTACCATCTGGCTGCTTGACGAGTTCCGTCATAAACTCGTACGCAACTTTGCGATATATCTCTCGATTTCGGACATCCTGCTCTGGGCTGTAGTCGTCGCATTCGACCATGAGATACCAGTGAAAATAGTTGCCAAGCATGAAATTTGCCGCGGCACGTTGAATCAAAAACTGTGCTAGTGGTGAATCTTGAATGTTGTCCACGCCAGAGTCAGATGACATGTACTCATACTTGAGAGCTTGTACGAGCTGAAGTAAGTAGAGAAGTAACTCGTTATCGTCAGCTTTTCGTAGCCGATTGACAGCATACGACCGGACAGTAGGATTATCGAATGACGGCCCCAGCATCCCAAGTGCGTCATCCACGTCAATTTCCGTCCAGCGACTAAGAACTTGAACGGCTTGTTTCAATTCTCCTTGATCATTCCAGTTAACAGATCTGACAAATTTGGCCAAACCTCGCTTGTCCTTGGTTAGATGATATCTAAACTTCCAAACAAGGTCTGCCTCTTCCGGAGATAGAATGTGTGTTGGCGGATATGACATGATAACATTTAGCTCATCACGAACTTTTGCGTTAGGTTTTAAATCTCGGTCTAGGATACCGTGCCGATGAGAACTTCGGAAGAGTCGCCTGTGTTTCGCTTCGGCCGGGTTATCCCTCTGCCCTACTTCAGGATCATATATCATGACAAGACGAGACCCAAAGTCCGCTGAGCTCTCGCCAATTGCCTTGATTCCAGGACCAAATTGAACCTCGGGTTGCCTCTGTGTTACAATTTGCGAGGCAGACAGTGGCTGCAGAGCTGAGATTGGGGGTGGCTCGTATTCGTGATCCGCAAAAACAACAGGAAAGTCGAAGCGAGGCAGTTCAACATTGAGCACGCATATATAAGGGTCTGGCGTGTCTTCGCGAGAGTGGTCTAGAGTATCATGCGCCACGTTGTTGTCACGTCCGTTCGCCGTAGGATCTCGATGGCGTAGTTTGGTTGAGAGCTTGGCGGCATGTAATCCTTTCTTTTCAAAACCCCTGAATACCATCTGGTCAAGCCAATCTACTCGGGGTATCTCGCCCATCTCGTGTTTCTTGAATAAGCTTTCCATCCTTTCCAGCTCTTCTGTGTGGCTAGTCAACTGCGGTGCTCCCTTTCCGTTGCTTCTAACGATCGCAGGTGTTGTCGTATCGTCAGTTCCATCAGCATTCTTGTATTTATGGATGTAGCACTTCTGCCGGCCCCTGACAACCTGGTTGTCATCGCCAAATAGAGCAAGAGTGGTTCCCCCAAAGGGAGTCGCATGGCAAAGATCGGCTTTGCTCGAGTCTGGTGAAAGATCCCATATCGTGATAGCCAACCGAGAGTTGGCGGGAATCGACTTGTATGATATTGGTAACCGCAACCATTCATTCCATCTAACGAGTCAGATTCCCAGATTAGCCATATTGCTCACTGGAGTCACTCAAACGTGCCTCGCATACCTTATTTCTGGACGAGGTGGTTTATATGATGTCTGGATGGGTACAGTCAGGGCCTTGGAACCAGCCCAGACTTGAACCGTGACATACAGCTCGGAGGAAGAACTGTGTAGCTAACCATCAGAACGCTATTTCCCACTGTTATCTCTTTAATCATGGCACACCTCGTATTTGAGCCAATATGGCGGACTTGAGGCCTCTCGAGGAGTGTCGACTGCTTCGTAGGACGCTCGTCTCCATCTATACCAATTCTGAGGGAGTCGTTAGCTGATGTTACACTGCTGTTGAGACTTCGACAATGGATGGCTTACATTCGAATGCTGACTGGGCTTTCAATATCTCGAGATGCTGCGAAAGAAAATGGATCTATGCGACCATATTCGGCCATGGTGTCTCAAACTGTTGAGAATCTATATACTCGAGCAGTGACATTCAGGTGATGATGTCAACGGGCACAGCATATTCTATAGTAGGTAAGTAGGGTTAGTACCCAGGTAGCTGTGCATGCGGGATGTAGCTCACATGCGCAAAGCTAGTGGTATCAATAAGCTTTACTCCAAAGCCACAAAATGAATCCTACTAAAAGTAATTTTATAATTAAATTAATACTAATGACTTTACAGTAGTATTGTTTAAAAGCAAATAAAAAAATAAAAAAAATAAAAAATAAAATTTCTTGTTTACTTTGATAGCAAAATATCATAACTGAATATTAATTTTTAATAAAGTGATTAAATAATCATTGATAAATAGATAGCTTTTTTTAATTAGCAATGTAATTACAAATATCAAAAAAAAATTAGATAAATGAAGGCCAAATAGATTTCTTATAACATTTGCATGTCCACTGCCTGTAGCCTAACCACAGTGGACTGATTTGTGCATCAGTAGTAACTGACCGGGATGTCACTGGAATAGACGGTTCCTTGACGGGTAAATATGGGGCGCACGCGTGCAATCAACGAGCTTATACAAAAGATTTGCCTAAAAGGTCAAGCTCCCCAGGTCACCAACTCATCTCAGCAAGCGTGTTTTGTTTTGATGCGGGTCATTGTTCCTTCAAATACTCGAGTCTAAGAGTCATCAACATGTTACGGGCCGGATGACCCTTACCAAGGCCGCACGACGTTGAATGCAGTAAATGCGTTGGCAAATCGCGTCATACTAGACACCATCGCCATCTATCCTTCATAAGGCATCTCAATGGCATCACTCGTGTTTCAACTCCCAGATGAGACGATTCTGGCCCCTCTACTTCGCCAATTTCCTGGAAGAGAAGGCCAAATACGGTCACTGGCCTCTTTACTTCATGTATGTCCCATTCCAGCTCCTGCAACAAGAGCAAGAGAGAGAAATCTATAGCTAACACTCTATGACCAACTAGACAGATGCCGCACCCTGTCGGAACCTTGTGATTCATGGCTCAGAAGCAACAGGGAAATCCAGCGTCACGAAGCAATTACTCGTACAACTGTCACATAACAACGAAGCATCGACTAATCAGTCCCCTGCCCTCGTTCACGCAACGGTTAACGTAGCTCGATGCATATCTGGACGTCATTTCTTCGAGAGCATCATCGCTGCAGTAACCAATGCAGTAAGAGCATGGAGCGGGAATGGTGATGGCGAAGTTGAATCACAACGATGTGAGACGCTGGCACAGCTTGCGGCATCCCTGGGTGCCATATTCGATGAGCCTCAGTTGAAGGGTGGATTGACACATTTCATTTTGGTATTAGATGGAATGGACAAGCAAAGGGACCCCCCACCAACCCTGATGCCGGCATTGGCGAGATTATGCGAAACCGTGAGTCAATTGGGCTTTGTGATATAAGAAGAAACCGACAAGCGAGTATCTGCTAACAAAAAGCTTGTAGATTCCGTGCCTCACATGCATTTTCATTGTTACGACTCCGCCAGCTGGGTTTCTTCGAGCTTGTCCGACTTCATATCTTTACTTCCCGCCGTATACCAAATCTGAGTTAATCCAGATCCTATCACTAGAGCCTCCACCTCCTATCTCCAGGGCGACTTCAACAGCAGAGAAGGAGATACGTGAAGATCCAGAAGTGGCAAACCTGTGGACCAAATTTTGCGCTGCGGTTCATGATTCTCTGGCTCAATCTGCCGGACGGTCGTTACCTTCTTTCAAGAACAGCTGTTACACTCTTTGGCCCCGTTTTGTAGCTCCCATTTTCGCCGGCACCTACACCCCCCAACAATTCTCAAAACTTCTCGTCGCGGCGAGACCGTTCTTCCAAGATGAGGCATTTCTAAATCCCAAGATTGTGTCGTCTCAAACTACAGGAACCGACATGGGCATTGGTAAAAGCCGGCAACCTGCGACTAAAGGCTTTACCTTTACATCATTGCCGTCAACTACTCTAAATCCACAGCCTCCAGCAGGATTAACCGCCCTGCTACCGACTACCGCGAGAGTGCTTTTGCTCTCAGCATATCTTGCTTCTCACAATGCCGTCCGACACGACATCAGCCTCTTCTCTACTTCTTTTAATGGTCGCAAGCGTCGACGTTCCGGTCCCAACGCTGCTCGAGCAAATAATCGGAATAAGCAGCGTAAAATATCCCGTAAACTACTTGGGGCGCATGCCTTTATTTTAGAGCGGCTGTTGGCAATCTTTGAAGCAGTAAGAACAGAATTGGTCGACTCAGCGGCCGTCTTGCCAGGCCCGGATGGCGACATTGGTATGACTCTAGCCACCTTAGCCAGCCTGAGGCTTCTTATACGAATTGGGACAGGAGACATTATGGATAGATCCGGTAAGTGGAGGATTAATGTCGGATGGGAAGTCATGAGAGGCATAGGGAGAGGCATTGGGATAAATATTGAAGAGTGGCTTGTGGAGTAAAGAGGAAAGCATGCCAGCACCTATCTGTGTCGCTTTTCACCTTTTAAATGCTTGATCATTTCCTATACGGCAAAAGTATGGATGCAAGCCATGCCTCAGCAAGTTGGGGTGTAGATGATTGATTTTTTCCCCGATTCGAAATAACTATATCCTAATTCTCGGTAGCTAGTCGTAACTCATCCTGAAGTCGACAAAGGTAAAATTCTCTGGCAGCGGGCGGCAGCGACTGCAAGCTTTTCGCAATCCGGGCAATAGCTTGCCTTCCTTTCTCATATGCCTCAAGGTCCTTGTTACCATAAACATCTCGACCAGGAGAGTAATGATCTTTCTGTCCCGGGTCACGGAAGAAAACGTTGACTGCAGTGCTCATGTCGGTTATCGGAGCAGCTGTGTGGAGCCAGAGAGCCGGTAATAGTAAAATATCACCCGGATGGATTACAGCTTCTTGGGGGTGTGTCGCCCGGAGCGAAGATATAGAAGTTTCCAACGCTTGAAAAACGTTCACGCTTGAGCTAGAAGCACCAGGGGCGAAAGACAGGTGCTTCACGTCACTGGGAGGAAACAAAATCATTCTCCTCACCCCGGCCACCTGCGCATAGACATTTGCCATAACCTGTACGATATACCCGGTTAGTCCAAAGGCATGTGATAGCCAGTCAGCGAATTACAGATAAACTTACATCGTAATGTAGCCACATATTCGCCCGGCCGGATAATCTCAAGACAGAGCTGAACAAGTGATCTTTGATATACGCCATTTCTCGTGGCAGGGTGAAATCTCCTGCTAAACTTGGGAAATCCTCTTCTAGTTTGGCTGGTAGTTCAGACGGCTTATCCCGAGACAAAGCTCGTAGATAAACCCGGGCTCCGGATTGCAGCTTGCTCATGATGTCCCCAAACGAGTCAGTCACATATGAAAAATTCTTGCTGTTGAAGTCCAACACTCCCGTGTCTTCATGAGACTCGTGTATCACAAACTAATATAGTTAGTTTAATTACTCGTTTCCAGACCTTGGATTTGGAATGTATGTCAACTTACCTTCTCATTTGCGCCAATCTGACTTACAAGGAAGTCAGGGGTCCATTTCTGTTGACACTCGCCGATGGAACAACTCTTGAAAATGACTGGTTTCCCTTGGTCAACAATTCTTTGGAAGTGTTCGGCAGATTCAAGCTGTAATCTGGGCACTGACGTTAGAGACGCCCCCTGATCTTGATTGTCCGAGTGATTAACACCGCCTGAACTTGTAACAGTGGAAGTGGCCGAAAACTTTCGGCATCCAATAAGATCGATAGTAGAATTAGACAGGCTGTGTAGTCGTGAAGTAAAATCTGTAGCCTTCAGGATATGGTCAGGCAACCAGATTTTGTATATACTCGTCTCCCAAAACGTGCCCATTGAGAAGCATGTCGCTCCCCCACCAAGCACCAGAAGAGAAGAGCCATCTTGTACAATTGAAGAGCCAATCATGAACGGCATGGGCTCGTCATTTTGGGGGGTGGAAAAACTTTCAACTTCAAACCCTTCTGCAGAAGTGGTAACGACGGTAATAGTTTGGCCATGTAGGCATGGATCCGCTCCCATACCACCGCATATGATTACAGACGACCCTAAATGCACAGCTTGAGCACCAAAGGAAGAAACGAGCCGACTATTGGAGCTGCTGGTTGTGATGGGGGAAAAGGAAATGGTCGGCTAGCAAATACGTCAGTTAAAAAAGAAGAAGAAGAGATAATCGATCTTTTGATAACATGCAGCTCACAATCTGGGATGCCAATGCAAATGGTGAGCAAAATGGTGATGAAACATACCTCAGTATTGTAGACGTTCAATCCCCATCTATACTGCTTTGTAGCAATACGTCCCTCTTTGGAAATTCCTCCAGCTAACATGCCACTAAATACTCCCGGGGTGCTAGACGTGGAGATGGAATTGCAAACGATTGAGCCAAAACAGGAATCGGGAGCAGGTCCTAAGACGGAACACCGTTGCCAACAAGCTCTTTGTGGGTTGAAAAGGAAAAACTCGTCTGAGAGCTGCGATGAACTTTTCTTACCACCAAAGATCAATAGAAGAGATGAACTCCCTAGTCGAAGAGCGGAATGCCGAAATAGGGGAACGGGCAATGGCGGCATCGTACGCCAACGCGGATCAGTGCCCCTTTCAAAGAGCCAGCAGTCCGATAGGGCACAGGAGGGCGACGTACGACCACCAACCAGCATAATTCCATATTCCCCCAGATCTGTCAGCGTAAAGCACATGCGAGCAGGTGGTCCCGAAGGCGGTAGCTGCGGCGGTGTCCCGTGCTGCCCATCAAGTGAGAAGATATCATAAGTAGACTCTCTGCTGTTGAGACTCATCCCTAGCAAATTAAGAGCGTATCGCTGTCCAAGTCCATTACTTAGAATCATGCTATTTCCAAAACGTCGTCTGGTAGTTTTCTTTGTGGATTCCCCTATTATTTCGACACGCAAGCCTGCAAACGTCTTTGCACTCTCACTGGCGACTGATGTAGACGTTTGAGGCAATGAGCCTTGGCTACAGTCGGTGGATGCATGAAGGATGGAGTAGTGGCGAGCAAATAGAATAAACTCTTCCCACTCGTCAAAGGGCTCGATATCGTCAAGGGCAATTCGTTCTGAGTCGCTCACAAACTCCTCACTTGACCATGCTTGCCAAAGATCCTTGATTTCTACACGAGGCCACCCGCGGTCCTGAAATCGACTGGCTTGGCTCTCAACTGTTGGGTACTGCTCAACAGAACGCAGAGGAGTACCCAGCTTGACAAAGTGACCAAGCATCTGCTCGGCAAAAGGATGCCTTTTTCCATAAGGTAGAATCTGTTCCAGGAGGCAGAAGTTATTTTCTAGTTATTAATCAGTTTTATGTACTCCTCTCGTATGATAAGGCGAGTCATTATCGTGAAATCGGAATGCTTAAACAAACCTCGACCAACAGTGCTTCCCCATTGGATTAGAGAGTCGGCAGATTGAGTGTCCATATATGTAATTGACACTTCTGCCACGAACAGGATGGCACACTCGGGAAGGTTGATAATTGATTCCAAAGTCATTCGCAACTTATCAAGCTGTCGAAGGTCGCAGCCAAGCTGGCAATACTTGTTGCTGCGCAGCAGTAGGTCGTCTTTGTCTTCATCACCGAGGGTGAAGTCATTCCCAAGAAGGTTTCGCAGCTCTGGAGTTTGTAAAACTATGGCCCGTTTCTTCTTCATGAGGTCAGGATAATCCACATCGATGAAGAGGACATCACTGCCTAAATTCTCATAACGAGCATGGCATTGCCATGGCAAGACATCACTTGTGTTTGTTAGCTGTTGCAGGCAGACGAATCATATACATGTACATTGTGCAAACACTTACCTGCCACAACCAAGATTGATGATGACCTTCTTCCCTGCTGTCTCTTTAGTGAGAAACCTATGAACTATGGTATCAATCGCCCGGAGACGCAGCCAATATCCTCTATTGATTAGGGGGGCCCTCCTTTGAAACTTCGGAACAAAGTAGCGGAAGAAAGGAGTTTCTTTTGAGTGATACAGACGCTCAACACTGCGTTTCGAAGTAATGCTGCTGGTGTTTGTCTGCTATGTGATTAGTATCAATCTCATCAACGCCTGGTGAAAGTCAAAAATGAAATATTGCAATCAAGAAATAATATTTTGTCAAGCCCTATCATTCATATGTACACATACCCCCATAACCAAATCGTCCAAGGTCTGCGACCCAGGAGATCCTTCTTGCTTGGCCATCATGACTATACGTGAACATGAAACATGAGTCTTAGACTACCCTGAGTGAGAAGAATAGCTACAAGGTAGGTAGGGAACAATGCCACTGGTTCTTTTTTCTTGGTTTTTTTTTCCCGCGGTACTGTGTAGCACTCTTCCAACACTAGTGGGGGAAAAAATATGAAAGCCCGCAGTATTACTTCAGTAGTAGCTTAAAAAATCGGGCTATCTCTGCTAGTGCAATTTGCTGACTGGTTGAAGCATTGATCAAGTTGAAGAGCGACTGCGAGCCAACTAGATGTTTTGCAATAGTGGAATCTGGTTGGCAAAACGTTCGGACACGCATATTACGCGCATTCATCTTCATCTCATTGAGCAGAAGAGCAATCTCGGTAGTGTTGCCTTGTCGGCGACCATAGAAGCTAAAATCATTGATATGAAGACTGACAAGCTCCAGCTGTGTCTCTAAATCATATCTGAAGCCGATTACTTTGTGATGGCCTTTTTGATGCCATTCATCCGATACCTTTTTGAGATTATCCGGGGAGAGATGGCCCTTGTCCAGCTCTTCACTGACGTATATATTTAGAGCCGTTGTAAGGTTGAATTCGAGCTCACAGTATAAAAGGCTTTGTTCTCTAGGATCCAGTGAAACTGCGGCATGTGTACCCACTGTTCCCCTTGCAACTGGATGAGTTCGTCGGGTTTGATGCAGCTCAGACTAGCCACCATCAGCCAAGTTCGTTCCTCAGCGCCGTCCAATGAAGTTAGCCACTTACCACATCCTTGGCGATCTTCTTTATGCCATCTAAGATCCGCGTCTTCTTTTGGGGCGATTGCTTATTCCTATCGTAAAGGGCCTGTTCTGTGGACTCCAGCCACCCATGCTGCCCAATCATGGTTTTCTCACCCTTTTTTTCTGTCGGAAAGTCATGGCCCCGAAAGTATAGCGCAAGGGGAGAAAATAAATCGGTTCCAACGCCCTTGAGCGACATAATGAGGAGGGAGCAATGGTCGATGTTGCTTTTATATAGATTGGAGGAAGTGGTTGAGTAAATTGCAGGGATATTAATTTATTGATTATAATAATTGGATAAAGTAAAAAGTAGCTAGTATTTTTATTATTTTTATTCTTTTTCTTATTCTTTTTATTTTTCTTATTTTTCTTATTTTTCTTATTTTTTTTTTATTTTTATTAATTATTTTTATTATTTTTATTTTTATTATTTTTATTATTTTTATTATTTTTATTATTTTTATTATTTTTATTATTTTTATTATTTTTATTATTTTTATTATTTTTATTATT